TTCAATCACTCAAGAAAATTGTTTGGCATTAGCTGTTCATGTTGAACGTGTACATCCAACAAGTCACTATCCCCATCAGAAAGGCACACACTGCTGCAACAAAAGACACATATATGCACGAGAACGTGGCTAAAGGTATCATCTGTAAGAGTCTGAAAGTGGAAATAATTCAAATATCCATCCATAGTAGACTAGAAAAATATATTGCCGCATACTTTTACAATAGAATACCATACAGCTATGAAAATGAATGAACTAACATGGTCAATCTCACCATCAGAATGTAGAATGAAAAGAATTCAGTCATGAAAGAATACATACAATGCATGCTATAGGATTCCACTTATATAAAAGTCCAAAACTGCCTAAATTTTGGTGTTAAGGCATTGCACTTAGGTGATAAATCCAAAAAGAAAAGCAAGGCAGTGATTGCCAAAAAGGTCAAAATAATAGCTTCCTATGGGAAGAGGGAAAAGATAGTTACGAGGAAGGGGAGCATCGGAGCTGGCGAAGGTTTATTTCTCAGTCTCGGTGATTAGCTACACAAGCATGTGCTTTGTAATCATTGGTTAAGCTGCACATTTGCTTGATGCATTTTCCTACAGCGTATTCTGTTATACTCATAATAAAAGCAATTTGTAATGGAAGAAAAAGAGAATACCTAAATGTTGAGGACCTAAGGGAACAGAAGCTCTGGATACTTTTGCTCCTTACTTTTCTGTAGCTGTCTCCTTTTTCTCTAACAACAAGCAAATTAGTGATTAAAAAGAAATAAAAGAAAAAACAAGGAGTCTAGAGTAGGACTTTACCTAAATTCATATCCCAGGTCTCTATTATCAGCTATAGGACTTCAGGCAAATTGCTTAACTCTGTAGGCTTCTGTTTCCTAGCTGTGGAATGGGGATAATAATAGTAAGTACCTCACTGGGCTGGTGTGCACACACAGAACGGAGAGTGCCTGGCCCATCAGGCGGCTATTAAAGTACTAAGCCTAAAGTGAAGAAACACAAGTGACATCCAGTTTTTGGTGTGTAATACTTTACCGCAATTTCTTAATTCTTCTCTTCTCCCCCATGGTGGGCACCATGGGGACAAAGACCGTGTCTGTCTTAACTTACTGCCATCCTCAGAGGGCAGCACAGGGCCCGAGAGGAGCCCAGGTATTTTGCATTTAACACAATGCTCTCTGGTAATGGCATTATGTGGGCGCCTGACAGTGAACCTTGGCACCCAAGCCCTGACTCTGTCCTTGCTCCCCTGGGGAGGATCATGCCCTCTTAGCTCAGGCATGCTAAGTGGCCTAAGAGTAGTTCTCTCTGGGGTCCTGGGTCTCACTGCCTCTAGCCAAAAGTTCTTGGGAACAGCCAGGGCATGGTGGGAAAGACCCTTTGGCCTTGTTTCAGGAAAAGGGTGAGGATGGGGAACAGGGAATGGGGTTGGGAGACTCCAAGGAAGCACCAGAGGTCACCTAGCAAGCTGAACATGCCTGGGTGATTTAGGGTTTACCCAGCTGTGATAAGCTGCATGCCTCAAGGGAGCTGGGAAGGCAGTCCCAGGACTGTGGGCAACTTCTGAGCAGCTCCTTCAAGCTCTTGTCCCTTGATAGGCCCAAGCCTTGAACTGGCTCTTTTGTGGTTAAGCGACATGTTGGAAACTCCTCCCTTTACACAGAGTCCTTTCTCAAACATAAATCCATTTTCTCTTCCTGACAAACTGTGAACTACTCAACTGTCTATTTTACAAGGTAGGAGACTGATATAAACACAAAGAGTTCAGACCAAGGTCATCCAGGCTTGACTTCATCCGACACTCCTCTTTCCCTTCCATTTCTCCCCAGGTCTTCCTAGAAAGGCAGGTAGGTGCAACATAGGCCAGGACATCTTAGCCCCAGCAAAGCCTAGAGCATTCAAGTTAGCACTCAAGACCCCAGGCCCTTTCTCACATCCAAAGGTAGCAAGAAATGTGTTTGGCATCTTGCTAGAGGATACAAAATGGGGAGGACTCAAACCAGAGGTCAGGCCCAGACTGTTTGTTTAACCCAGACCAGTCTGATTCCAGAGCCCACCAGGGTCAGACCTTTTAGAAGAGTCTCACGTGGGAGTGCTGTTAACTCACATGCCAAGGGATGGCCTGGCACAGAAGCACAAAGGACCCTATGAGAAGAATGTGCAGGACATAAAGGATTCTCAGAAATTGCCATCATCACCTAGCAGAGAACTGAAGCAGTCTGGGGGCTGTAAGGAAAAAGAAGCATAGGGTTTTAAAGCAGAGATATTAGGGAGTCACGTAGAGAAAAGCTACGTAAGGAGCAGGAATTTTAAACCTGGAGCCTCATCAATAGTAGCAGAGGGACCTGGGACTCCTTAGGAAGGAGCTGGAAGAAAGACAGGCTTAGAACCTACAGGGTAGAAGTGCTGCTTACTACTCCAGAATCAGGCTCTCTGAGGCACATCACCCAGACAGCAGGTCACCCCTCAGGCTTATTAAGATGGGGGTGGGGGGTTAGAAATGACCCCAGGTCCATTTCCAGAATCTGTCCCAGCAACTTCCTCATGTCAAAATTAAGTAAAAGCACAGATGAACATGAGCACTGGGTGTTACATGGAAGTGATGAATCCCTGGGCTCCACTCCTGAGACCAATACTACTAACTTGAATTTAAATTTAAGAAATAAATAAACAACCCACGGGTGAACAGACTCCTGATCACAGACTGGACTTCAAACCTCAGGACAGCCTCCTTTTCCATTCCCTTGGAAGACCTCTGGCCCTCAGAATCCTTCCAACCTCTTGTTCTTCTGCTGGGAAGGAGGGGACTGCCCACCGCTGGACCCAGAAGGGAGGCAAACTGTTGCACCAGCAGAGGTTGAGAGAGGACAAAAGGCAAAGTCAGCCAGAGAGAGGGAGAGACCAGGACACTTGGCCAGCTGCACCAGCAGGAGCCTTCTCCACCCCCTTTGCTTCCACGGGCAGCAGCTACTCTGATGAGAACCTGAGATTTGGGGGGAGGGCAGAGATCCACACAATTAATGTGGACTTTAGTTCCACGTAGAAGTGTGGCTGTTTGGATAAAGCTGACATGCCACAACTTGATTCTCCCCCACTGCGTGAAGTTCTGGGTCCCAGATGTTAGCAGTATTACCCTGTATGCCAACTACATGAGCCAGCGCTGGGGCTGATTCAACTGGATTTTCTCCTGATCTAATGTCACAAACACATCACTACAATTTCAAGGGGCCTAGTAGGAGACAGGCAGTGTTGAATATGCGGTCAGAGAGGAGTAAGAGCTGGTCCTCTGTTCTCAAGCTGACATTCTGGGGTAAACTATAGAGAGAACCACCCCTGCACACTTGCTACAAAAGACTGCACTCACCCATAGGACATCACATCTAAAATCAAAACCCCAGGGTCCCTGGGTGGCATCAGTTAAGCATCCATCCAGCTCTTGATTTCAGTTCAGGCCATGAGCTCACCGTTTGCTAGATCAAGCCCCACATCAGGGTATGCGCTGACAGCATGGAGCCTGCTTGGGATTCTCTCCTTCCCTCCCTCCCTCTCTGTGGCCCTCCCCAGCTTGTGCTCACTCTCTCTCAAAATAAATAAAAATTTTAAAAAATTAAAAATTAAAAAAAAATAAAACCCCAGTCAAGACATGCCTGCCTTCACAAATTCAAAGTGTCCATTTCCATCTGCCTCACAAGTTTCACAGCATTCTTTTTCAGGTAAGACACAGAAACAGAAGCTAAAGGGTAACCTATTATGCTATTAGTTGCAACATCTGGCACAGAGCACCTAGTCTGCCTAGATTGAGACACGGAGAGAAGAGGGCAGACTGCGCACGTAAGTAGGCTACACTGGTGCTTTCAGGCTCAACTGTGGGTCTTATTCATACCAACCAGTCCTATTTGTGCCTCCTTTGCCTCATGTAATCCAACAAATTGATTCCAACAGAGAAACATTCATGACATTACTGCTGAACCAAAACTTGGAAACCATCTCAACAGGAAAATAGCTCACTAAATTATATAGCTATTAGAGGTTTTTAAAAACTATTAATGATATGGGAAATGTTCATGATTTATTAGGCAAAGCAAGATACAAAACCCTATATGAGATCAAATTCACTTAAAACTTATACACCTGTATAAGTTTTTACATATTTATAGCCCAGGAGCTCGGGTGCCTAAGGCTTGGACAGTATTTTCTTTTTTAAGATTTTTTATGTTTTTAAAGTAATCTCCAAGTGGGACTCAAACTTGCAACCCTAAGATCAAGAGTCAGATGCTCCGTCCGCTGAGCTGGCCAGGAATCCTACCGGATGGCATTTTTCATCAATGTTATGATGTGACACTCCAAGCATCAAACACGACACGACTGCAGCACACAGGGGGTGAGAACGCAGAGACTGTGCCAGTAGGAAGAGCCCAGGAACCCTAGATCCACTAAGGGAGGGTGAGCCTCCTGGTAGGGGAGCCTTCAACAGGGAGACAACGGGAAGGCCAGGATGCTAGAAAGTACACACTGATTTAGCTACTTTACTTTGCTTTGCAATCCTACTTTGCCACATTTTCAATAACCTTCAGTACTCAGCCGAATACTGGGCCTAAAGTAGGAATTAGAAATCTAAGGGGAGGGGCACCTGGGTGGCTTAGTCGGTTAAGCGTCCAACTTTCGCTTGGGTCATGATCTCGCGGTTCGTGGGTTCGAGCCCCACGTAGGGCTCTGTGCTGACTGCCGGCTCAGAGCCTAGAGCCTGTTTCAGAGTCTGTGACTCCCTCTCTCTCTGACCCTCCCCTGCTCATGCTGTCTCTCTCTCTCTTAGAAATAAATAAAACATTAAAAAAAAAAAAAAAGAAATCTAAGGGGAATTCACAAAGTACTACTACTATAAGGAACAAAACCAAGCCAGCTGACTCCCAAACAAAGCACTACCCCTCTGTCACCACCCATATGAAGGGTTCCCTCATGCCATCACTAAAATGAAACACAGTTATAAAATCATAGGTTTATATTTTTGCCATTTATTTTTAAAATCTTATTCAAAATATTAAATAATACAATTTCAGATATGAAAAATTACTGCCATAAAACAGTTCAGATGTATTTCCATTGTGCTCCCCTTCCTAGTCAGGACAGTAAATTGTCCACCCGAAAGAAATGGTGGATTGCCCTGCTTCCTCCATCTTTACGCACAGCTCATGCCCACTGGCTCACCCAGGCTTTCACAGTGGGTGTTTAACATATATTAGGGGTTATGTCTTCTAAAAAGTTGCAGTGACACTTGTGAATCAACCATGGTTCAAATCACATATCTACATATCGATTAATTCTTTATTATAGAAAGGGTAAAACGAAATACAGTAAATAATTTCCAGTTGTTGTGAAAAAGAAAACAGAAGAAAAGAAGACAAGTACTGGAGAGAAAAAGTCAGTGTACACATATATCCTCTATGTATACAAACAACTTCACTCAGGTATAATTTTAATTTGAAAGGCCTAGATGCAGAATTATTTAAGTGCTAATGGCCCCTAAGATTTATTCAAACTTACTATAAAGTAATAAACAAAGTAAAAAAATCAGATATAATTTTAAACTCTGCTCCTTGCTGTGAAGCTTGGAGGAACCCGTGCTATAATCAATTGCTGACTGAAAGCAACTGTATGTGTATTTAATATTTTGCCACAATTTCCACCTCTAAATTTTATTCAGTAATTCAAGCCAAAATATGGTATCTCTATAACATTTTATCTATGTCCACTGCAAACCGCAGAGTCTCTCTAGTGACAGAATTTCTAGAGATATTTATTAATGTGGTACCTAAAACTGTGGTCAGATTGAACAATATCATTATCTTAAATTATGTTTAAATTATCCAAAAATATCCAAAGCGATTTTCCTGGAAGAAAGAAATGTTACTTATATGCCAAGCACTATTATACATATCCTTGTAAATTAACAGTTTGGGAGCACAAAAATATGTGCTTAAGAAACAGGATTTGGATGGCAGAAAGAGAATCTGAGCCAGCAGTACCAGATACGTTAGGATTTAGTTACAAGGTTGGGATCTTATAAAACGAGTATTACTAATACTTCCAGAAGAAGTACAATGAAGATATCTAAAACAAAACTAACAGATAACGCTTAGCTCCACATTATGGACACCTGATTGAATTTACCTCTAAAAGTGTAGATAAAAAATTATATACTCCTTGTTTGTGACATTTCATTTCGAAAGCACCAAGGCAAAATAAAGAGAGACCCACCTCTCATTTTAAGTACCAACTGCCTATGGCAAACATCTGCACAATATTATATAAAAAAGTCAAGCAAATAAAATTACATAATAAGCAAACTCAAATCACAGTGCTTTAAAAAATATAATCATTGGTTATCTTCAGCGAAGGCATTGCCTCATTAACATTCTGGTCTAGACGATGATATTCCACTGTTTTGGAACAAAGACCATCACGCCATTTCCTGCTCTGAACCAGAAGGAAAATCTGGAAAAAAATAAAATAAAATAAATTAGATGTGCAAAAAACAAAGTGGAGGATATGCTAAAAATTTGTATAACAAGCGCACTCTCTCTCCTAGGTTCCCAAATATGAAAAATAAAACAACAAAAGAACTCTCATTTTTCATCTTGTAAACAAAGTTAAACAGTTCTTCTCAAATTTTGATGTACAGGGTGCTTGCTAAAGACTGATCCTGTGTTCTGTCTGTGGAGATGAGTTAATAGATCACACTGGAGCCCAGGAGCCCACATGTTTAACAAGTCCCTTAGGTATTTAGAACAGAGATGGCCTAACATTCAACACTGGGATAGACTATCAGAGGCATTCTAATTAAACATGTAGGTGAGCCTGGATGGCTCAGTTAAGCATCTAACTTTGGCTCAGGTCATGATCTCACAGTTCACGGGTTTGAGCCCCACATCAGGCTCTGTGCTGACAGCTCGGAGCCTGGAGCCTGCTTCGGATTCTGAGTCTCCCTTTCTTTCTGCCCCTCCCCCACTTGTAATCTGTCTCTCTCTCTCTCAAAAATAAATAAAAATTAAAATAATAATAAACATGTAATAGTTTTAAAACAAGGAAAAAAGTTATTAAAATATCATTAAGTTCCATGCTTAATTAAAAGTACTAAATTAACTATCTTTCTCCACATGTATTCCCACTGAAGTAGCAATGCTAACTTTAGACATAATACCTGTTTTTTAGTTTTTGCTTTTAAATGTTTATTTATTTTTGAGACAGAGTGCGAACAAGGGAGGGGCAGAGAGAGAGGGAGACACAGAATCTGAAATAGGCTCCAGGCTCTGAGCTGTCAGCACAGAACCCAATGCGGGGCTCAAACCCACAAACCGTGAGATCATGACCTGAGCCAAAGTCAGATGCTTAACCGACTGAGCCACCCAGGCGCCCCAATACCTGTTTTTTAAAAACCACTGGGCTTTGGTTTTGCTTATTAAAAAACAATTTGACTTTTTTCAGAAGGATACAGGGTAAAGCATTCTGTAATTTGTTAAAATACACCACATTTATACTGATTAGACATTTTGATATTTTACCATCAATTTAAACTTCACTCAAAAAGAAAACAATTCTGAATCATCAAAAACATCTGTAAGAAATATAGCGAGACAATAAAAGACAATTAGAGGGGTTGAAAACCCCAAACTTACCTTCCTTTTGTTGTGATACGTAATGTAAACAACAGCAATACAAAAAGCAAAAATAATGAGATGAAAAAAGAAATGGCTATCTTCTTCTTCAATATTTGAGGATGGGGTCTTAAAAGATCTCACTGACTGTTCAATTTCCATGTAGTTCCTGTTTTCTTCCAGAGCCTCACTGGACTCATCGTCCCTGGGGCTGGTGGTCCAGTCATAGTCTGGTTCTCCATAGTCTCCATTGTCCAGAGTGTCTTTGGCGGTAGATGGAGAACTATTGATCGTAAGAAGATCCTCCTCCTCTATGCTGGGATCTTCATTGTTATCTGTCTCCTCTTGTGACAGGAAAGTAGTAGGTGAGGGATGAGGGGCCACAGATGCCCCTCCACCTTTCTCTGTACTAGTTGTGGGATGGAGAGTGGTGCTGACTTGGGAGACAGAAAGTCTGGTTTGGTTTTCATGTGTTAAAGCACTCATATTTGGAGCAGAAACATGTGTCTGGAGTACAGTTTGGCTTGGCAAATCAGTCTGCTGTACAGCTAAAATGGTGAATAAAAAACATTAAACTGAAATCTCCAACTTTATCTCCATCAAGCAAGAAGCATATTTGCCTAAATTTTTCACTAAGCATTTTTGTTTTGCCAAATCCCTCTTTCTCTTGAGAATTTGTTAATAGCCGGCCATCAGTCACCTTTCTTCTTAGTCAATTATTCATCAGGTAATAACTCTTCAGCCAGAAAGTAACAACTACATTACAAAGCCTGTATATATTACATAGCCTGTCACCAAAAGAAAAAGGAAAGAACAGAGAGGGATGACGGTAGGTCACAATGGTGAAATCCACAGAGAGCTTTTATCCATCCTCTGTTTTCATTTCACAAAGAGTAAAGGACTTCAGTAATCCTTGCCCAGACTGCACCTCATCCCTAGAACAGAAAGATCGGTGGCTGGGTCACCAATCTAGCTCAAGTGGGTCACAAACCAGATATGGAATGTGAACCTTAATATTTTCAATACAACAAATTTAAGAGAAGTTATAAGCAAGCTGTAGGTAGCATTTCTAAATGATACTAGAACCAAAAGACCTCCTCTCCCAATTTTTTTTTTTAAGTATTCTTAGGAAGAAGGAAGGGAGAACTCCTAAAGGGGAAGAAATGGAAATTGGAAACTTGAAAACTAAATGTGAACTGGAGTTTTCACGATTGGGGAAGGCAATCCAGGTATGGGAATAACACCAAATACATACAAGCTCTTATTTCACTATACTCCTACCTACTCAGTGTGGTTTACTAAAGTATTTTAAATTATTTACAGAACTAACTTTATACAGCAAAAGTTCAGAAGAATCCCTGCTGAAATTTAACAGTGTCTCTAATTTATAAGCTAATACAGCACCTGTTGAAGAACTTCAAGAATATCCATTATACTTGTAAAAAAAAAAAAAAAAAAAAGAACAGTCACATGAGATCTAAAAATACACAGTTCCAATTTTAGGATCCTATTTTAAAATCTATCAAATAATAGTATTTTATAGGGGTAAAATTAAACCAAATCATTCCTGGGCTTTCACAAACGTGTGCATGCACAGAAATTAACAATCTAACAGACCGCTCTCTGTTCGAACATGTAATACCTGAATACATGAATACACTCCGGTTTGTGTATCATAGTTGATACCTATTTTGTATAGAAAAAATAAGTTTAAATAAGACCAGAGTCTTGAAAATACAAATTACCACAACTCACCAGGTATGAAATACATCATTTGAATTCCCCTATAAACATTAAGGAAAGTGAAAAGAAAAAAAAAAACATTAAGGAAAGTGAATCCTTTACTTTAAAACTGCCAAAAAATTAATTCACAGATCCTACCAAATGTTTAAAGAAGAATTCTCACCAATTCTATAGAATCTCCTCCAGAGAATAGGAGGGAACATTGTCCAATTCATTTTTTGAAGCTAGTATTATTATCCTGATACCAAAACCAAAAACACTACATAAAAAGAAAACTACAGACTGATATTTTTCATGAACACAGCTGCCAAAGTCCTTAGCAAAATGTTAGCAAATAGAAACTAGTAATATATAAAAAGAATGATATTCCATGAACAGTGAGAGTTATTCTAGCAATGAGAAACTGATTCAATATACAAAAATCAATCAATGCAATCCACCAAATTAACAAGCTAAATGAACTTTCATCTGAGTCTCCTATCTTCTACAAAACTTAACTGTGGAACACAGGGGCACCTGGCTGGCTCAGTCAGTGGAGCATGTGACTCTTGATGTCAGGGTCATGAATTCAAGCCACACAGTGGGTGTACAGATTATTTAAAAAATAATAACAGTAATAATAAATAAATAAAAATAAAAATGGATCACAAATTTAAAAGTAAAATGCAAAACTATAAAACTTGTAGAAAAAGACAAAGGAAAAAAAATCTTTGGAATCCAGGACTAAGCACAAATTTGTAGACCTGACACCGAAACCACAGTACATAAAAGAAAAAATCCATAAACTGGATTCTATAAAAATGAAAAACTTTTGCTCCACAGGAGGATAAAAAGATAAACTACACAATGGGTGAAATATTTGTAAGGTCCAACCCAACAAAGGAAGAGTATCCAGGACACACAAAGAAATCTGAAAACTCAGGGCACCTGGGCAGCTCAGTTGGTTAAGTGTCTTAATTTGGCTCAGGTCACAACCTCAAGGTACATGAGTTCAAGCCTTGCACTGGGCTCTGTGCTGCCAGCTCAGAGCCTGGAGCCTGCTTCAGATTCTGTGTCTCCTTCTCTCTCTGCCCCTCCCTTGCTCCCACTATCTCTCTCATTCTCTCTCTCTCTCTCTCAAAAATAACATTAAAAAATTAATAAAGAAAAAGAAATCTGAAAACTCAAAAAGGAAAAAGGAAACAATCCAATTAGAAAACAGGCAACAGACACAGAGGCACATTTCACCAAAGAGAATAAACAGATGGCAAACAAGCACATGAAAAAATATTAGCCACTAAGAAAATGCAAATTAAAACCACAATAAAGATAATCACTGCACACCTATCAGAATGACAGTAAAATAAAAGTAATGACAACACCAAATATTGTCAAAGATGCAGAAGTTAGATCACTTCTATGTTGCTGGTGCTAAACATAAAATAGGACAACTATGCCAGAAAACAGTTTGGTAGTTTCTTAAAAAAACTAAATATCTAACTACCATATGACCCAGCAATTGCACTCCTGAGCATTTATCCCAAAGAAATGAAATGTTATGATAACACAAAAAATCTGTACATGAAATGTTCACTTCATATTAATCATAATACGGAAAAACCAGAAACAACCCAGACATCCTTCAAAGGATGAATGGTTAAACAAAGTGTAGTGTGGCTATATGATAATGGAATACTACTCAGCAATACAAAAAGAACAAACAATTGACACATGAAACAACTTGATCAATCTACAGAGAATTATGCTAGGTAAAAAAAAAAAAGCCAATTCCAAAAAGTTATATACCATACAATTCCATTTATAGCACATTCTCAAAATGACAAAATTAAAGAAATAACAGATTAGTGGTTGCCAGGATTTCAGGAGAGAGTAGGGAAAGAAAGGACCTGGGAGTGAATATAAAGAGGCAATATGAGAGGTTGATGGAAATGTTCTTTATCTTGACTGTATCCTGACTATGATATTGAACTGCTGTTTCTTAAGATGTTACCACTAGGGAAATTGGGGAAAAGGGATACAGGATTTGTATTATTTCTTACAATTACAAGCAAATCTACTATTATTTCAAAATAAAAAGTTTTAAAAATGCATTTTACTTGCCACTCAAAAAAAAAAAAAAAAAAACTTGCTCTACCTACAGCCAACATTTCAGTTAATGGCAATTCCTTTCTTCTAGTTATTCCAGAAAAAAACCTGGAATCATCAGGTTCTTAATACCCCACAACAAATCTGTTACCCTACCTTCAAAGTGTATGTAAAATCTGAAGACTTTTCACCTTTTAACTGGTACTGCCTCGTCCAAGCCACTGTCATCTCACCTGGCTTATTACGTTAGCCTTCTAAATAATCTGCCCACTTCTACCCTAGCTCCTACTGTCCACTCTCAACACAACAGCTCTAGTCATCCTGTAAAAACTTAAGTTCAATGATGTTACTTCTCTGCTTAAAACCCTGAGAGCTCTCCATCTCTCAAAAGTAAAATTCAAAGTCTTGGTAATAGCCTACAAGATCCTACAGGATCTGGCACCTCAATCTCATCTCTTACTAATCTCCCAGACTCCTCTATCCAGGCTGCCTAGTTAACAGATAGCAATCAATTTTTATAGAATATGCTCTTGACCCAATTCTCACCACAAACCCTACACCACTTCCCAACTAGTATCTTTGCACCTATCACGCCCTCTAAAAAGCCTTTCCCACAGTTTTCAGCCAGGCAAAACCCACTCATTGTCCCAAGGGTATCACCAAAGTTAACCTACTTGTTGTTGTAACTCCAAAACCTACCACCAAGTAGGAGCACAATTAATAAGTATTGTTCAAAGAGTAAAAAGTTGGAAATAACACACAGAAAACAAACGAAAAATTCATCTGAAATATTTGATGCAAGTTTGATCAACCTCCTGGACCTCCACTCCTTCAAATCAGAGAAAATGATCTAGTCAGAAATGAAGGGTATGCAGAACAAAGTGAGAACTCTTGACTTTATGAATTTATGGTTGAGCATGTACAGTCATATACAGTACTTTAGACTTCTAAGTGTTCCATTTCTGGCCTTTCTTACTTGATATTACCTCCCTAGTTAAAACAACATTTTAAAAATAACTTTCTACATTTAATTCTCTTCTATGGGTCCCTTCAATAAACTGTCTTTTTTTTAAAAATATTTTTATTTATTTCTAGGAGAGAGAGAGAGAGAGAGTAAGCAGGGGAGGGTAAGAGAGAGAAGGAGTCACAGCCTGAAACAGGTTCCAGGCTCTGAGCTGGCAGTCAGCACAGAGCCCGACGCGGGGCTCAAACCCACGAACCACGAGATCATGACCTAAGCGAAAGTCGGACGCTCAACCGACTAAGCCACCCAGGCGCCCCTCAAAAAACGGTCTTAATAGCATGGCAAGACTTAATCAGAAGCTGTCATTCAGTAATCCAAAATAATGCTTACATTAATTTTTTTAGATTTTGTTGAAATAAAAATGTAAAACTTTAAAATCCTTACAGATTGCCAAGAATATATCTGAGCATTGAAATTTTAAGAAACCTAATGTAGAACAAGTTGGAATAAATCTCATGGAGTCACTTTCTAACTTTCTACGCTTATTTGATTTTTGGAACTCAACGCCTCCTATCTAGACTACAATTTTTGTATTACAAGAGTAATTACTTTGAAATCACTCTATCCTAAGGCAGCATGCTTACAAAAAACACTTATATTACCCAAAGCTTTACAAATGCTATGCTGTACTAAAATGTATCATTTAAATTAATTTAAGTTATTTTCAGTAGGGAATAATATGAATTTTAAATTGATACAGAGACTTTATGAAAAAAGGAAAATATTACCTAAAACGTCCAAATATGGTTGGAGCAATATTTATGAGGCTCTAATAAATAAAAACAAAGACAGGAGACACCTTAATATTCCACACTACCCCCTCACTTGCCCCTCTCCGCAAGATTTTTATCCATCTCTTAAAGGGAAAAGTTGTTCCTGCAACTACAGTTACCAGCTACATATCCCTCAAACTGTATGCCTTAAGCATTTCAGTAAGAAATATAAATGTTTTGGGGCACCTGGGTGGCTCAGTCAGTTTAGCATCTGACTTCAGCTCAGGTCATGATCTCACCGCTAGGGAGTACAAGCTCTGTGTCCAGCTCTGTGCTGACAGCTCAGAGCCTGGAGCCTGCTTCAGATTCTGTCTCCCTCTCTCTCCACCCTTCCCTTGCTCGTGCTCTCTCTCTCAAAAATAAATAAACATTAAAAAAAAAAATACAATTGTTTAACTGTTGTTTTCTTAAATGATCAAATAACCAAAACAATTATGCTATATAAATACTTTAGAAATAGGAATATCTGCATCGATCAGAGAAATCCTAGTTATATTTCAGTCATTATTAAAGGGCTTTGGGAAAATGGACCTCAGTTCTCCCCCACCGACTTACAAATGCTTCTGGCACACTGGATGTCTCACCCTCAGTGCTGCTGAGGAAACCTAAGGAACTAACCACATCACTACAGTAGAGAAATGTATAGCTAGACAGCCCCTGTTGGCAAGTAAGAAAATGCTATCCCATTCGCAATGTTTTTCATCTGAAAATTCAAAAAAGATTTAAGAAACAAAGCAGGATCATGTCTTGGCCTGAAAGAAAAAAGAGACTACTAAATAAAATAGTGCTTAATCATCACAAATTCTTATTAATACATTTGTTCCCCCTAAGTCTCAGGCCCTAGTTTACAGATTTATTTCTGGTAAAGGCTTCAATATCTTCATTCACAATGTACCATTTCTAAGAAAAGAAATACTTAATCATGCAGCATTATTTACAGATGCCAAGATATGGGGGATCCTGGGTGGCTCAGTCGGCTGTGCATCCAACCCTTGATTTCAGATCAAGATTCCAGGTCATGGGATAGAGTCCCACATCAAGCTCTATGCTGAGCATGAAGCCTGCTTAAGATTCTCTCTCTCCCTGAAGGCAAACCATGAGAGACTCTTGAATGCTGAGAACAAACTGAGGGCTGATGGGGTGGGGCATGGGGGAAGGCACTTGTTGGGATGAGCACTTGGTGTTATATGGAAACCAACGTGACAATAAACTATTTAAGAAAAAAATTAAAAACTAAATTAATCAAGAATGGATACTGAAAAAAATAAATAAATATTCTCTCCCTCTTCTCCCCTGTCCCACTCATACTCTCTCTCTAAAAAATAATCATAGCCAAGATATGGAAACAATCTAAACATGATAAATGAACAGATAAAGACTAAGTGGTGTGTGTGTATATATATATATATATATATATGTTACATATATATATACACACAATGGAATATTGCTCAGTTATACACACACAAAATGAAACATGGCATTTGTGACAACCTGGATGGGCCTTGTAGGTATTATGTTAAGTTAATATTATGCTATTAAATAGGTCAGAGAAAAGACAAATGTCTTATGTTTTTACTTATATGTGTAATAAGAATCAAAACAAAACAAGCAAGCATGCAAACAAGCCCTACTCACAGATACAGAGAAGAGACTGATGGTTGCCAGTGGAGAGGGGGTTGGAGGTGGGTGAAATGAATGAAGAGCATCAAAAGGTACACACTACCAGTTACAAAATAAGTAAGTCATGAGGATGTAATATGAAGCGTGGTGACTACAGTCAATAAGACAGTAATGCATATTTGAAAGTTGCTAAGAGAGTAAATCTTAACAGTTCTCATTACAAGGAAAAAAAAAAGTCAGTAGGGTAATGGTAGAGTTAGGTGGTGATCAGTTGCCAGTGTATACAAATATTGAATCATTATGCTGTACACCTGAGACTAACATAATGTTTTATGCCAATCATACCTCAATAAACAAAATCTTTTAAACAAAAAATTTTTAATTTTAAATAAAAATTTTTAATTTTAAATAAAAATTTTAAAAAACGTTAAATGAAATAATCAAATTCTACGACTCTATTAAAAATGAAACAGTCGTGCCCAGCTAACCTTCTCCTCCTTCTCCTCCTCGTAAGCCCCTCAGGAGCCCGAAGCCCCAGTATTCTGGCTCTTCACCAAGCCCCAGGACCTCCCAGATCTGAGGGATGAAACAGTACTCTAAATAGCGTTCTCCCCTTCACTTTTGCTCTCCAAGATATTCCATCAGCTCAGTCTGGTCACTGCCGCTGCCCACCTCGGTCTTTACCGCTTACCTTACGCGTTCTGGAAGACTCCCACACTCCGCGGCCGTGCGAGACCGCTGGGTGCCTCCCCCCACCGTGGGAACCTCTCTAGTCCACCACACCTCCTAACCACGGCCACCTCCTCAGCATCTGTTCGCTCTGCCCCCTCATAACTCCTCCCTTCAAGCAATTTTGGAGACCCCACCACCGCCACTCCCTGTGGCAACGCATTCTTCAAGACTGTGTAGACACCACCACCACTCCTCCCTCCACACCCATCTCCATAGTCTGCTCCCCGGACTCCCGCATCTCTCAACCCTGAATCTCGGGCCTCTCAGAGACCCCAGCCCCTTAGCCTCCTTCAGACAGCCTGCTCTCCCTCCTCGGCGCCCAGCGACTCTGCCCTAATTACACATCGCCATCTGCTCCGGACACTCGGAAGCGCCCTTTCGGTGGCCGGGCCTGTCTCTCCGCCCGCGCGGCCCTCCCGCGCCCGCCCTGCCGCCGCGCCCACTTTACCACTGGACAAGGTGGCGGACGCAAGCAGGAGCGCCAGGACCAGCGGCTGTGCCAACCCTCCCGGGACCTGGAGGCCGGGCGAGGACAGCAGTTTCGTTTGCACGGTTCCCCTCATCCTCCTCAAGACAGCAGCGGCCATAACGGACTCCGCCGGGAGCCTGCGCCGTTGCTAGGCTCTACGTCATGACATCAGACACTGCGTAAGGCACCGCGGCCGTCGCAGGTACGTCCCAACGTGATGACGTCGCAGCCCAAAGAGGCGCTCCGGAAACCGGGTTAAGGAGGAAGGAGAGTAGGAGTTTCAGCAAAGGGCGAGCCCCTCCCAAGCCCCTTTCAGTTTGAGGTTGTAAAGTGTAAACTGTAGAGAGGTTCAGAGCGAGCCTCTCTGTCTGCCACGTGATGGGATACTATACAGCTCATGAAAGTATTTTAAAACATTGAAGGGTTTTTGTTTTAAGATTTTATTTTGGGGGCTCCTGGGTGGCTTAGTCCGTTAAACCTCCGACTTCCAGTTGGATCATAATCTCACAATTCTTTAGTTCCAGACCCACATCCGGCTCTCTGCTGTCAGCACAGAGCCCACTTTGGACCCTCCGTCTCCCTTTCTCTTCCCCCCCCCCGGCCCGCCCCCACCAGTCTCTCACAAAAATGAACTTTTCTAAAAAAAATTTTATTTTTAAGTAATCTCTACACCCAAAGTGGGGCTCGAACTCACAACCCGCAATTAAGAATTGCGTGGTCTACAGACTGAGCCAATCAGAGGCCCCTAAAACATCGTTAAAAGGAAGATCCAACTGGGTAAAAGACTGCTGGTCTGGAAAGGGAAGTAACTGCCTTCCCTCCCTCAAAGGCAAAGGAAACACAAATGTTCGCAGTTGCCGTATCTGGGTTGTGGAATTGTAGGTAAATGTTTTACTTTTTATCTTGTAATTATTTTTTCCTTCAACAAATACTTAGCACCCATTCATATTTCAGTGAACAGCAGTTAACAATCCAAACCACATACCTTTGTGGAGTTGATTTTCTTGTGAGGAAGAGGATAGTTTAAGATAAACACTGTACAATGGGAAAGATATTATGGAGAAAAAGCAGGAAAGCAGGATAGGAAGTATGGTGCAAACAGCTTCCATATTTCCCACAATGAGCTTATGTTACTTTGTAAATTTAATCCTTAAAACCCCCAGCATATGAAAATGCAGGTTTAGAAAGTTCCCTTATGTCCTTGGCACATGCTTTAGTCTGTATGTTCTGCAAATGTTTCTTAAATAAATGTACGCTTTCAGTCGTGGAAGTTCCACTTGATTGATTTCCATGCGAATTATTGTGTCATGAAGCAAGACGTTTGCTGTATCCACAGCTTCACCACTCTGATATCCGTGATTCCCGCAGAAGATTGCTATCTTCCAGAGACAAAGCTGAGCTTCCCCTCTAAAGAGAGAAGGGCCCCTGTTCTCCTGAATCTTATTTCCCTTGACATTCAACTGGCCCCAGTGACAGCTCAGAAACACACAAACTCTGTGTTAAGAAAACTAAGAGGTCATTCATGCCCATTTCCCTATGCCCACCACAAACCCGGATAGACTGAATGGGGCCCTTATTGCAAACTTTCCAGGGTATCCAGGATACAAAGTCTTCCCAAATTCCCTTGGAGCTTTTCCTTCTGTGAGTAGAGAAACCATCACTCAGTTTAGTGAATAAGCCCTCGATTCTAGCTTCTGCTTATTGGGGTATTCAGGCATAGGCCTTTTTCTGTAATAAACACACCTTCAATCCTCTCTCCTTTGTCCCCATACCAGAGTGTTTCAATTCTCTTACTAGTGAGATATGAACCCAAGGCATTTTGCACAATATTCTGACATGCTGGATTCAATAGGCAGATACTTAATATGTGAGGAGGGAAATATACCCTCAATATTCAGAGGGCCCTTTGTACATTTCAAAATATCAATACTGTACCTGGCATCTGACTGCATGTACCCAACAACCATTATGTGCCAAAGTCTATAGACAAATTCAAAAGCGCACTTTGAAACAGCTACAGATCCTCATGAACCTGATGAAGACAGTATGACAAATGCTGAGGCAAGCAAGTTTGGGGTAATCAGCTACACAAAAGGTTCAAGTTAACTGTGATACTTGTCTGGCATGGTCACTTCCAAACATCCATAAAAAGGACCTCTACCTGGGGGCACCTGGCTGGTTCAGTCGGAAGAGCATGCAACTCTTGATCTTGGGGTCATAAGTTTTTGCCCCACACTGGGCATGGGGCCTACCTAAAAAAAAAAAGAAAAAAAAAGTAACTCTGCTAAAAACATGTATTACTGGGGTGCCTGGGTGGCTCAGTTAGTTGGGGTCCAACTTCAGCTCAGGTCATGGTCTCACTATTCCCAAGTTCAAGCCCCACATCAGGCTCTGTGCTTACAGTTCAGAGCCTGGAGCCTGTTTCAGATTCTGTCTGTCTGTCTGTCCCTCTCTCTCTCTGCCCCTCCCCCACTCACACTCTGTCTCTCTCTCAAAAATAAAACATTGAAAAAACATATTACTGAAGAGAAAAATGTTCAGTTATTGAAGCTGGATAATGTAACACAGAGTTTACTCTTCTACTTGGTAAATGTTTGAAGTTGACACTGTCATTTTTTAAAACATAAATATATTGCAGAATTCTATCCATGCCTTTGTAGGATCCCCTGCCCTAGAGTGTGGGAAGGACCTGTCAATATGATGGGCTGTCACTGCTGTGGTTACGTCATTAAATAGCACAGATGACTTTAAGAACGGGAGATTTTCTGGGGCACCTGGGGGACTCAGTCAGTTGAGAGTCCACTTTCGGCTCAGGTCACGATCTCGTGGTTTGTGGGTTTGAGCCCTGTTCCTGCTCCTCCCCTGCTCACGCTCTGTCTCTCTCTCTCCAAAATAAATAAGCATTAAAAACAAAAAAATTAAAAAAAAAAAAAAGAATGGAAAATTTCCTCGGAGGGCAGGACCTAATAAGGTGAGCCCTTAAAAGGATTGGGGCAGTTACAAAAGAAGTAAGTCCTGGGGCTGTCACGTACAGCATGGTAACTAGAGTTAATAAGACTGTGTACTGTATATTTGAAAGCTGCTAAGAGAGCAGATCTTACAAGTCCCTGTCACAAGGAAAGAGACATTGTATAACTGGTGTGGTGACAGAGGGTGACAGATGTTAATTAGCCTCACTGTAGTGATCGTTTTGCCATATATACAAATATTGAGTCATTATGTTGTACCTCTGAAACTACTGTTTTATGTCAATTATGCCTCAATCAATAAAATTAAAACTTTTAAAAGGGGGGGAAGTATAGCAGGGGCTCTTCGTGGAAGAGATTTCAACTGTGAGAGGGATCCAACAGTAAGGGAATTCTTCCATTCCAGCTGTGAAGATGAGAGGGGACCATCGGCAAGGAAGGCGGGCCAGCAAGGAAACAGGGGCTATTATCCTACAGCCGAAAGGAGCTGAATTCTGCCACAACCATGTGAGTGTGGAAGGGGACCTCAAGCTCCAGACGAGAACACAGTCTGGCAGACATGCTAATTTCAGCAGTGTGAGAATTTCAACAGAGAACCCAGCCATACCATACTGGACTTCTGACCTAGAGACCTGTGAAATGAATACATGCTGTTCTCAGCAACTATACTTGGGTAATTTGTTATGCAACAATAGAAAACTAAACATCCCGGGGCGCCTGGGTGGCTTAGTCGGTTAAGCGTCCGACTTTCGCTTAGGTCATGATCTCACGGTTCGTGGGTTTGAGCCCCGCGTCGGGCTCTGTGCTGACTGCCAGCTCAGAGCCTGGAGCCTATTTCCGAGTCTGTATCTCCCTCTCTCTCTGACCCTCCCCTGCTCACGCTGTCTCTCTCTCTCTTAGAAATAAATAAAAATAAAAAAAAAAATAAAAAAAAATAAAAAAAAAAAGAAAACTAAACATCCCCTCTCATACACACACAAAACATACACACACACAGTGCAAACACAAATGCCAAATGCCCCATGTATTTACACTTTTATTAATATAATAAAGACAACAGAAGGATGAGGTTTCAATATTTTATTCAAGTTTTACTTTAAGTGATGTTAATTACAGCATTTGAAGGGGAGGATCTAATTCCACACAAAATGGAAGACTCTAAAATGTACCCATTAAACTGCTAAAAAATAAACTGAGTGGCGAGAATACAACAGAAGTCCAATTTAGATTCCGAGTGTTGTCACCATGTGATTACAGTCACAGAGACTCTTCCCAGCTTGCAGCTGGGAGTCTTAGAAGCTATTTCATACTCTGGTGCAAGGGCAAAAAAACCACAACATGAGAGGGAATTAAGTCCTGAATTATTGGCTTCATCACGTCCACTTCTCCACCCCAAAATGGCACAAAAGGAACAGCTACCACGCCCTGCAGACTACTTTTGGTGTAAAAGAGGTGATGGACTGGGGTGGAAACAGGTCATGAAAATCTGTCTAAAAAAGTCTCTTTCGGATGAGTCTGTACACACCATCAGCGAGTCTCCTTCATGAGGGTAGGAAACCAAAGTTCAATTCTCAGGAAGTGATAATTTCATTCATTTACTCAACACCAGTTCACAAAATGCCTACAAATTCTCAGCTTCCCCTTGCAGCCATTTCTAGATAAAAAAGAAACCTGACAATTCTAGAGGGGCCACCAAGTTCCCCCCAAGTCTACCGGTGAAAGGACTTTTTTCTTGGACTTGGGTTTCTTCTGTACCTCTGAAAGGGTAACACCTTAAAGCTGACTCATCTTTAACCTGGAGGTCTAACGTGATATTTAGCAATACTCGCATCCCAGACGTACGACATTAAAAGGTACACTAAATTCTGAAGGTAGCTATGCTCAAAATAGTTTAAAATTAAACGATTGTACAGTATTCATTTATGCCTGAAATTCCAGTCCTAGACCAAGCTTGTGGCCGCCAGCATTGACATTCTTGCCATCCAGCAGAGCTGAGAGCGTCAGTTTGATACCTGCAAGGGGAATAACCAGGAACAGGGAAGGGGGAGGGATGGAGGAGAGAGATGAAAAGAAAGGTTAACACAGAGCAGGTCAACACAAGGAGGATTACCTAAGCACACAAATTCAGAACCTGCTTCAGCCGGGTGTGACCAGCAAGGCAAAACCACATGGCCCATCAATCCCTGTTACTG